CCTCCGCGCGCGACATAGCCTGCGGCGGCTTTTGCCTAAGCAAGGCAGGGGGAGGATTTGCGACGTGCGTCACGTGTTAAGACAAGTCAAAATCAGAATAGTGCTGGAGACCGCGAAAAAGACCGTCTCCCGCCAAAATTATACAAGTTTGAACAAAATATGATTTTATGTGAGATTTGGTTCAACTCAAGAGCTATGATCATATAGGCTGCTGCATGACGAAGGCGCAATATCTTTGGGCGCGAATGCGGCTTTATTAGCCGCAGAGCGCATAAGGCGCAGAATTTACAACGGTGAAGATACGCGCGCGTCGCGTTCGCGCCCGCTCAACATATCTCTCCTGCGCCTTCGTCATGCATTAGCCTTTAGCTATGAGATTATTATAAGACTTCCAAGGTTGAGTAATTTCGACACTTCATTACCTCACATCTAATCACTCCTCTGATCTATACCATCTAGACAATGCGTCATCTTTCTCTTCATCCTCCTTGCTAATTATGTCCCGCGAACATTACACTAGCTGACTGTACTAGTTAAAGGGCGGAGAATTTTTCCGACTACAGCGACGGCAGGCAGGAATTGCTTGATTGACATGAATGGTATCTGGTCAGAGTAGAAGAAGAGTCATTCAAGCTAATGCATCGATAATTATCAAATCGACGTCGTTGTCACATCGAAAAACGAGACGAATGCATTCAATCTGTGATTCTACACTGCCGAGACGATAGAAATTTGCTCTTTCACTACGCATTATTAGCCGATTTGATTCTACGCTCTGTTTGTGTGTGGTGCTACATCGTCGTCGCCGAACTGCCGTAAAATTCTACTAAATGCTCCTCTTGCTTCCACAATCGTCATCATCGTCAAGCACTATAGCCGAAACTACAGTCATCGATAGCAATTCGGCTACGGCTGTACTACAACCATGCCAAAATCGACGTCATACGATGGTGCAGACGGTAATATGCTGATAATATTTACAGATTATTGATTATTTACGATATAATCAAAATGCATATTACAACACTCTTTCTCCCATTCTCATCGGTTTTTTCGTCTTATAAAAAAATGCACTTTTGCATATGTATGAGGTAAACGCCATTCCTCCGTATCAGTGGCGTACCCGAACTTTCCGTTCGGGGAGGAGGGACAAAAAATTTTCGCGGGCCCATAATCCCGAAACGCCCCGAAAAAAATTCCTTATAAGGCCAAAGTGAGTAAAAAATTCAAAAATTGTTTTAATTATCTACAAGTATATAAACAAGCTACTTACACATTTTTATAACTCATGTAGGTGACTTTCAAAAACTTCGCAGCCCCTCCTCCCCCCCTCGGTACGCCACTGCTTTATATAACATCCAAAGAAAACACTCTGTATGTAAACCATAACTATTAGGTGGATAGCTACTACCTGATTTGCGGTTAATGGTATTGTATGACAGATTATGTATCTGTATCCGTAATTAACTAATTGTTTCCTCTTTCTAAAAATAGAGTTATTATCACTTTTTTAAACTGGTTGTTATGATCTCTAATAGGCGACACTCCAACTTTTTTTATAAAGTTAAGGAGAAAGCAGATGGCTATTATAGTTATCGTCCAAGCGGCTCCGATGCGGTCCATTTATATACGAATTTTGCAACATAACTCTCGCTCGGTACCGTATTCACAAACGCTGACTGGAAAGAGTACGGTACTGGGCAAGAGCATGGTGTTAAATTTCTCAACCACGAATGAAACGTATAGATTACCACATAGGTAACCTGCTTCGGTTAGGCCTCTAAATCAGTTTTTAATTGTTTTAATTTTTTAAGATTCAACTGCTTAGATTGCCCGAACACCACCTCAAACTGAGACTAGGAGGAACATTAGTTTGCTGATAAGCTCCACCCACCCGGACAGCTAGCATAAGACAGCATTGATAAACTTGCGTGGTTTGTTGCAAATGTTCGCGCGGGACCTCCCCTCCGGCGACCTAATGTCCTCTACCCGTTCCTCAATTTGCCTAAACATCACTTCAAAGGGAGACTAGGATGAAGGATTTGATTTTTTGACATTATCCACAAAAAATCAGAACAGCTGCACATCGTCCATGAAGAGAGTGCGCGATAGGATTTAGTCGTGATTGTCTTCAAAATTAGGTGAACGCGCAGGAATGTCTAATATCAATTGACAGTCGTTCTTCAACAAGCGTCATCCGTTTGAGTTCCTGTCTGTTACGGATTCGAGAATTTTCTCTCCGTTTCAATGACTTTTTGGAACTCATTTTTGTCTGCACATTATCATCCCTTGCTTCATTTTCAGTGTCAGCACAAGCTCAACTCTCTTTAGTTAATTATGAAATCTATTTGAGCATTGCTTTTTGCAAAGAGACAAGAGGGGAGGGTAGTCGCAAGTGCTCACCATTTCTCCCAGCTTACAAGCTGCAAAGATATTCTTTTTTCACTAGTTTTTGAGATCGAAAAAAATCATAGGTATGTACATGCTAGGTCAGGAAACAATTTTGTCTGAAATATCCGCAAAAAAAAACAAAAAAATCTCAACGCTTTGTACAACTTGCATCTAAGTTTTACCTAGATATTTCCACCAACATCTGTTTAGAGAACACAAGTTGATAGCAGCATTACACACCTACACACCTTGTTTTTTGTTCCGAATAAATGTCGTAACCTTCTTTTAACTACTTTTCAGTTACATCTTTCTCTGTGTATATCTATTACCGTGTAGCATCGAAGCCGTGAGTGGTTTTGTTCCAATAGTGAGATTATTTTCCGAAAATATCAAAGCCGAATCATTAGATCATAAGGTCTTCTTGTTCAATGGAAAATTTCTATGTTCTTAAAAATCTTTTGTAAATGTAACACAGCTCATGTAAGTACCGATCTACACGGTGAGTAAAAAGTACTGTCCCACAGAATAAAGGTTGAAAAATCAAAGTGATTCCCAGGTTTCTCTGGTAAGTTCTGCAATTTCAACTTCAAGTTCATTTTTTCAATTTCAAAAGTGATTTTCGTGTACTAATCCTAAATGATCGTCGTAGAAAACTGAGAGCATGATAATAACGGAAGGTTCAAAGTGTATAAAAAGGTAAAACAGTCCCAATAGATCCTTACTTTTCCTTCATTTGCATTTGTAAAAGCTAGTCATATCTTCTTAGTATACCATGAAGAATAACTTTCAAAAATAAGAAGCGGAACATTCCGAACGGATCTAATCAAATCACGAAGTATGCTGTGTTTTATGCGGCGACCTGGAGCGGTACCAATGGAGAAACGCTAATCACATTTGGAAAATTTCAACGTTTTTCCATTTTTTTCGATCTGGCCGCACGTCGTATGTACAATGTGCATTTGATGTACAAAATGTATTCACGTGCACAGTGACAATGAGAATCAATTATTGCAATGCCGAATATCAATGAAACTGCAGACATTGCAGCGGCATCAAAAAAAATTGTGTACTCCGGGTCTATGGATGATTTGTTTAACGACAATCGTAGTGGAAGCAGAGGAGTGAGCGTTTTTTGAGATCGTAAAAATCGTAAAAACACCAGGGTTTACGGAGAAAAGTAAACAAGATATGATGTTGTAGGGATGGGTTGTTGAAAAAATATCAGGAGGTCCATTTTCACAAACTTTCCTTTTTGAAGAAATAAAAAGGTTTTATTCGTTTAGAGGCATATGCAACGGCAGGGGATTGGCGTGTACAAGGTCATTCTCCTCCTAATCTATGGTTGCTGCTTTTGGTTCCTCTTCAAATATCTGTTTTGGGATCATTTGTGAGTCGTTTCTATCAAATTAGAGTTCTTCATACGATCACAAGAATTTTAGAAATGAAAAAAGGGATTTTCAGGCAACGACTATTTTTTCCCGAACAAGTGGATGAAAGATACGCTGATCTCCTTGATAGAATAGGTGAGTTGTTGTTATTTATCTATTTGTGCAAATAGCAGCAGATTAGACTGTAAATGGGCGGAGTTAGCCAATACGAAATGACTTCAAGTACGTATGAATCGTGACTCCCATTGGCTGGCCCCGCCCACACTTGAGAACAAGCATAGACCTCGAAGCATTGCATGGTATCGATAACAAATCTGAAATCTGTAGTTTTAATAATGAAACTACAGTGACTGTATATTGAATTGTGAATGGGTGGTGTTTGCCAAAAATTAGCACAAGCACCCTGTATTTGGCTGGCTTTGATTAGGTGGCCCCGCCCACACGATAAAGACCAATCAGGGACGTTGGAATATACAGGGTGTCCCAAAAAATGTTAACACTGTTTGATTGTAAATAACTCTCTTTTAATGAAGTCTTTCGCCAAGCTTCAGGTACCATTTTGTAGAGCGAGGATAAACTTGAATTCATAGTATGGAGCGAATCATCTAACGCTCTTCGTTACTGTAGAATTACGGTAGGAAATTTGGCAAGAATTTTAGGCCACTAAGGGCCATTTTCTGCTTCGAAACAGACCCAAACAAGCCAAAAACTCTTGTACTATGGTAACGAAAGCCACTGATTTCGGATATGAAATTTCCATTTTTTTATGGTACTCCTTTTCAAAGTTATCCTAGATAAAGTGTAATAACCGAGTTGTGTCAAAAATGTGATTACATCGTAAAAAAGCTGAAAACACTCGTAAAAAGTTGTGCAGTAAAATCAGCATGCGCAAAAACCCTAGTAGACGATTTTTCAGATTTTTTTTGAAAAAATTTTGTCAGAGGGCATATTTCACGACGGTTCCACATGCTGGAATTTCTTACCGTAATTCTACAGTAACGAAGATGGAACGGTGATTCGCTCCATACTGTAAATCTAAGTTGAACCTCGCTCTCCAGAATGGTGCCTCAAGCTCGCCGAAAGACGTGAAATCAAGGGAGTTATTAACGATCAAACAGTGTTAACATTTTTTGGGACACCCTGTATATGAGATTGATTTCAGATCTCAATTGCAACGCGATACTCAAAAATGACAAAGAAGTCATTCAAAAAGCAAAGTTAATGAAGTATGATACTCATTTTGTCCAAAAACTTATTCTAGATGCTGATAATAGGTGAGTTTACAGTTTCTCCCCTGTTTGATGACACAATTCTACCGTAATTTTTCCAGATGTTTAGCCATTCGCAACCTTTTTGGATTTGATAATAGGCCCAATACTGAAGCTGAGCGTGACTATCCGCTAGCATATGGTTTGATAGTGTATAAGAATTTGGTTCAGGCAGGTCTCAATCCACATCTGGTGTATGCCCTTGCTCTACTCGAAAAATTTAGGTGCTTTTTATGCTGAGCTCATTTTATCGACCACAAAACGAGTATTGTGTAGCTGTAAGCGGCGGAGCTGATCCACTGTTCAAACTCATTATGGGTGAAGTTGATGAATGTTTTGATAATATTAGAGTGCTGGTAAGTTACCACAGTTTGACCACAGCCAACTAATCATGCAACAAGTATTTTAGAACCGGCCCCGCATCGACTGGGGATCTTATGAGATAATCAATTCAACCTTTGCTTGTCTCAAGTTTCTGTCTAGTAGTCAAACACAATGGAAGTATTTTCAGGTAAGCGTACTGAGAAGACCAATTTTTGTAAGCTTAAGGTTTTAAAGTTAACACGTTGACAACAGCGCCGCGCAACGGCCTTAATTTTGATTCTACCTGTCCAATCCTCTTATTTGTCCCTATCATCAACATAGGCACAGATGCAATTTATATGATATCCCCGCCCCTTTCGGCAAGCTCCGCCCACTCCTATGCCTCTCAAAAAGATCCTTTTTGTGCGCAAAAAGCACGGAAGAGGCCGCAGATGAACGCAAAGGCCTCAAGTAACTTTGGCCCAGTCGCCGCCCTGCACCAGGAAAGCTCCGTCTCCTCAGTGGCAAGCTCCGCCCACTTTTTAAAAATGGCGGGAATCCATGAAATTTCCAATTCCTGACATTTTTGGTCGAGCGGGCGGAGCTTGCCACAAGGGGGCGCAGTTTGCTATTTTATGCTTCAAGCGTAGACGCATACATACATACATGAAGCTAGGCGTAGAGATGCACGGGAACGTCTTGTCCGCAAGGACAGACCCTTGAAAAATGGCTCGTCGTCAACGTGTTAACTGAAGTGAATTTCTTCTGTGTATGACTTACCAAAATTTGTGTTCACCTTTCAGTATCTCGCTGGTGTTGATATTCCGCTCAAGACCAACTTAGAGATGACTGAAATTTTCAAACAATGGAACAACACGGTAAACGCGGAGGTCACTTGGTTTCAACCGAAAAGAATCAGAAGCAAAAGGGTTAGTTGCTGCGGTAAGGAACGTTGTCGAAACATCGTGCATCTCCGTCAGCTGATGCTTGCAGATAGAGGCAGCTCCTTTACCACTGTACAAGGCATCATTGTCAGCAACAGTTCCACGAGCTGCCGTCGATCAGATAGTTGCTGTAAGTTTCTGTTTTCCATAATGGAACTATAGGCAAAATGGGTACGGCCTTTGACCAAGTACACAAGTACTTTTATAATGACTGTCCAGATTGAATTACTAGTGTTCCACGGTCTATATCTGCCTATTTACAAAAAATAGAGTTTCACTAATTTATCGTTACAAATTCACTTCAAAACCCACGGCTACATTTCCATGATCTCATTCAGAGCAGCGAAGCGCGGCGACTTCTCGTGTTCCTTCTCAACACTTCCATACCCGACGAAAGTTTCTGGGGTACCTTGACAGGAAATATCGACAGTGAGTTTCTTTATGTATTTTAAAGCAGTGAATCGGCAAAATTTGACAACCCAGGATCTTAAGGCAGTAGCGTCCTTATCGTCCAAGTATGAAAACAGTGCAATTCCGGCTGCACAGCATGCCTTCCCTGTCGAGAAAATCGCTCTCAAATTTACACGCGCAAGCCAATCTTACACGCACCCGGACGAGTTTGCAACTTCCTTCTCACCATTGGAGGCTGCCCGCCGCAATGCTGCAATCATTGGGTCCCGCAACGATTCAGCATCGTCAGCCTTGCTCCACTCGTCCAAGTTTGAAGGGAAGGGGGTTGAAAAACGCTCGTTTTCGCCGTTTTCAAGCTCTCTAAAGTGGATTTTTGGGATTAGCGTATTGAATAACCCCAGGCAAGCGAAAATTTGACTAGGTTAAAATTTGCCGAACCACTGCTTTTAACGTACAGTAGCTTTCAATCTGAGTGTCACAATCGGCGCCGCTTGCGATCCGCCTCGGGGTCTCTCGCCGCGTTCTCCCTCATCGGAATCGGTATTTCCCCATGCTTGAGACGTGCGAAAAACCGTATCTCCAGGTATCAATGGCTGAAGCTCGGGAAGATGCCCCAAGACACATTCGCGAACGCGTCGAGTGACTCAAGCGAAGCGGCTCGCGAGGACCCGAGCTGTCAAACTTAGATTGAAAGCCCCTATATTCTTTGATTCAACGAGATTGGCGGCTGGAAGGCGACCGCTCGCGAGAGAGACGCAGCCTGCGAGTGTGCTCTCTAATCATCCTCTAGCCTTAATTAGGTCACAAAGCCCCACCCTGCAGCCGTCAATCCAGTTGAATCGAAGGGTAATCTAGTAGACCATGAGATTATACGTAACCATGAGATTATACGTATATTCATTTGCAGAATTTCCGGTACCGGGAGGTGTGGACGCGGCGGCATGGCTAGCATACCGGGAGAATTATCGTAAGAAACATGCTGACGAATTGAAGAAGTTCCAACTCCAGAAATACCATATGCGCTATTATCTGTCGCGATATCAGCTCTGGGATAGCCATTGCAAAGGCAAATTTGATTTCGAACGCTACTCATCTACTTGTAATCAATGCATATCAATTAAGGGAAGATGGCCTCCGGTTCTTGCATTTTCGGTGTAAGAGATTTGCCCGATCTTCTTAGGCAACCTCACCTTGTAGCACATAAGCTCTACATAGATTTCGAACCAGCAGCGTTTTTCTGCGGCTTAAAGGTACAATCCACGAAATAGTTAAAAGTTACGAATCGAAAACTTTCAGGAAATACGATCGCGAGAAAAAACACCCGTAAAGTTAGATCTCAAACTCTATCAGGAGATTCCACAGGTGGAGCTCAGCATGGGAGTACCATTCGAAAATCTCTCTCATCCTTTGTGGATGTATTGATATAATCTTATTAGGGCTTTTTATTTGAAATTCTTGTGTAGATCTACTTATTTGTTCCATCACTTTTACGAAAAGTTGTGATTGTTCAAATAATTACTATTATTTTGTTTTTCATTGCCTATAACTCTTTTTTGATCAAGGCGATGTAATCAACGGGTATCTAGTCATAGACTTGCCAAAACAACTGCTGCGCGACATTCTTTCAACTTTATCATTATGTGATAAACTTATAGAGTCGGTTTTTTTTTTGTGCTAAGTAATTGTGCCGTAAATTGACTGCTGATGTTTGTCTTTCTAGGAACATGTTATGAAATGAACTTATTGTTATCGATTTATCGATTGTCGTATAAAGACAAAGCTTTTCGCTATAGATTCTCTATGTGAAGCACACACGAAAATCGAGGAAAGTTGCAGTTGCAGTTGCAACTGCAAGGCTGTCATGCAGTTGCAGCTACTCCTCGCTGGCATGCCAACGGGGTCAAGCAAATCGAAACTCGTCCTCGCTCTAAAGAGAGGGTGCCCGGAAATCGGGGGTTTTGGGAGTTTTAGAGAATTTTGAGGTCATAACTGTACTCAGGGGGACGGAAAGGCCCCAAAATGACAAAAGTATCGAAGACGAAACTTTAGGTGTATGCTGCCTTAAAGGCAGCGTCCAGGCAAACTTGGACATTCGGGGTTCTGATGTGGAAAATGATTTTGGGGCCCTAATAAGATACTGCCCAATTGGCAGCTAAAATGGTAAACTTACAGTTGAGATATTCGCCTCCAAACTGGACCCCGGGATCGTATTGGCATGGATTCATGGCGCGACACGCATGGGTCCTCGCGCGCAACTGACGTGTCGCGCCATGAATCCATGCGAATACTATCCCGGGGTCCAATTTGTAGGCGTGTATCTCAACTGAAAGCTCACCATTTGGGCTGCCGCTAGCAGTGTTTTAGTTAGAACCCCAAAATTACACTCCAAGTGAGATCTTTATAGCCCAGATTTGCCTGGAGGCTGCCTTTAAAATTAAATAGGCTTCGGAATAATTCCATAGAGCAAAGCGAACTCTAGAAGATTTCATTCATTCTTTTGCCAGCTTCGTTCCATTTCGGGTTTGAAGCCAAAATCTAGATAATTCTGGTGGTTGGCCAAAAATTTGAAGAAAATTTTTATTTTCGTCCAATAAAAGCTCCGAGTCTCACTCGCTCATGCATATAGGCTGCACATTAGACACTCACTCCATCTTCGATGTATTTTCTGCTCGGTTACAAGTCGAGAGAACAAAAATCTTGTTTTTATTTAAGCAATTTTGCGCCGTTCCTTCATAAATGATTGTGTAACCTGTAGACCTTTAGAAATACAAACGTAAACTTTTAGCTCTTCGGCGTTTTGTGTAGATCGAGTCACGTATGTTTTCATACTTGAGATAAGCTACGTCTTAAGGCTCCCGCCAGAGTGCCGAAGTTATGCCAGCGCTACGCCAGCATTTCGATCGATGCACGTGTATTTCGTTGGGGACGTCAGCTACCCCGCCCCAACGAAATACACGTGTATCGATCGAAATGCTGGCGTAGCGCTGGCATAACTTCGGCACTCTGGCGGGAGCCTAAGAGGTGTTCTACCATATCGCCCTTTCCCCATTTGGTTTGTTTATGCACGTGTTAATGGTCCAGGTGCGCTTAACTTAGAATCATCTCTAAGTTAACTTTGAGTTTGAGCTGCGCTCGCAGTTTACTACCAATCTCTTAGATCTCTTAGGGCCGCATGCACTAACATCCCCACGGGGAGGGGATTGCAGCTTAAAAGAAAGCTTTATATTTCGAAACTCCAGATATCTGGATTTCACGTTGTGTACCTATCCGTAAGTATTCCTACTACCCTTCACTATGAACATGTTGAAGAGGAGCGAGAAGCTGTACAAACCGCATTTTCCAGCTTTTGTATGATCCCTGATGATCCCCAGCGCTTTTCTTTAAAGTCATTTTTCTTTCCCGAAGTTAACGAAAAACCCCCAAAGTTGTGCAGATTATCTAACCCGACAGTGCTAAGCATGTTCGTGATAAGAACAAATGATGTTTTGAAGTCATGAAATTTTCGATGATCCACAGGTCGAAATTTGAGGTTTACCGAAAAATCGACTTTTCAAAAACTCGTTTGTTCTCATCAGCAACATGCTTAGCACTGTTGTGTTAGATGTTCAGTACAGTTTTGGAAAGTTTTCGTTAACTTCGGAGAAAGAAAAATGACTTTAAAGAAAAGCGCTGGGGATCATCAGGGATCATACAAAAACTGGGAAATGGGTTCGTGCAACTTCCCGCTCCTCTTCAACATATTCATAGTGAAGGGTAGTAGGAATACTTACGGATAGGTACACAGCGTGAAATCCAGGTATCTGGAGTTTCGAAATATAAAGCTTTTTTTAGCTGCGATCCCCTCCCCAGCGGGGAGGTTAGTGCATGCGGCCCTTAGACTCTTAGATTTTGGCTGCAAACTCGAAGTGGATCAAAGCTGGTGCAAAAGCAAGGATGCTCTATTGCATGGTACTCCCAAACCTTTTCAGAAATGAGAAGCGACTCTTTTTTGGATGTAAAACGAATAAATTTTATGCAACGTTTTGATATAATTTGTATCGTTTTTAATCTTGTGGTGTAAATGCTCTTAAACTCTTTTCAAGTTTTCGATTAGTTCATCTTGCATGATATTTACCGCAATTTTTGCATGTTATACTCATATTACGTCCTTACTCAAACAGGATGCATTGATTAAGCAATATAGTATTTAGGCCCGTATGCACGTACATCCCGCAGGGAAGGGGAGGGAATCTGAAAGGGTAGGCGTTATACTGTCCCAAAAGTAAGTACACTTTTTTCAATCGTTAATATCTCTCTTCCCATTGTGTCCTTTTCCACCATTTAAACACTATTCTGTAGGGGAGGCTTCAACTTAGATTTGCAGTATCAAGCGAAATATCGATAGCTTTTCATTACTGTAAGATTACTGTAGGAACTTCGGCAAGGATTTTAGGCCATTAGAGGCCATATTCAGCCTCGAAACGAAACCAAACAATCCGAAAACTCTTACACTATAGGAGTGGAAGTCGCTGTTTTTAAATACGAAATCTACACTTTACTGTGATGCTTCTTTCCAAAGTTATCCCAGGTAAATCGTAATAACCGAATTCCCAGTAATTGTCAGAAATGTGATTACACTGCCAAAAAAGCTGAAAACACTTGTAAAAAGTTGTGTATTGGAATCAGCGTGCGTGAAAACCGTAGTACACGATTTTTCAGATTTTTGAAGGAAATTTTGTCAGATGGCATATTTCGCAATGGTTGAACATGCTAAAAGTTCTTACCGTAATCCTACAGTAACGAAGAGCGATTGGTGATTCTTTCAATACTGTAAATCTAAGTTGAAGCCTCCTCTACAGAATGGTATTCGACTGACAAAAAAAGACCCATTGGGAAGAGAGATATTCACGATTGAAAAGTGTGTACTTACTTTTGGGACACCCTGTATTTCACTACTCTTGGTGCCCGTACCATTCTTTCTATCTTATGGAAGTTCACATACGCTAGTGACTGAGTATAATGGATGATAGAAAAAATTACCGAACATAGCCATATAGACTGAGCTTTACATTGTTTTGTGTGATTTCCTAGCGGATTCCCAAGGGATCACCCCACATTTTCGAGTTATTCACGTTTCTATAAACTTGCTGAAAAGTGACAACCTGCACAATCATTTTTTTTCGAAAGCAGTCGATCATCACTACAACCTTGCAACGTTTTCATCGACTTCCTATAAAGGTTAGACGACTAGAAATGAGGGGTGATCACTCGGGAATCCCCAAAAAATCACACGAAACAATGAAAATCCTTTGTGTGGCAATGTTCTTCCATCTATTACCCTCATGTGTCAGCGTGTAGAACCTTTATAACAAAGACAGGAGAAAAATAAGATATCTAGAGCAGCGAAATACGACGTTTCCCTTGTCAGATCCCGTCCCCTTCGCAGAAGGGATCTACATGCATACGGGCCTTATTCGGTCTAGGGTGATTGATCAGATTACAGATGGCAGTAGGAAGTGCAAACAATTGTCACCGAGACTACAAATGTCAGCGAAACTACCTGTCTTCAAAATGTTATGCTATACTTTTACCAATGGAAACGCACATGGCAATTTTAATTGGCACCATATAGTTTTGCAGAATAATCAAAAAGAATGCAAGGGGTAGGCCTACACTGAAATGTAGCCAGGGCATAATAGAGCAGGACTGCCGCAGGGTTTTTGGTATAAGAGAGTGGTATTTGCCTCATAGGTTCTTACGATTTGTAAAAATGAAAGCTTCGTTCTGGACGCTTCCGCTCTCTTCTTTTTCTTAATAAGACTATAGCTAAATGGAATGAATGTGAATGAAGTAAGCATAGCGGAAAATATCTCAAAAATATGCCAGCGAAACCGGAAAATTGCGTCTTCTAGCCTTTTGTGCTAAAAACCCATCGAATTCGACAACACTGGGTGAGTGACTTTTCATACGATGAGCAATTCCGAGGTGCGAGGTGTGAACACCTACGGCCGGGTGTGAAGTCTCGCACCTCGGCGTCTAGTATACTGTAGGAGGTAAGATTTGGGGGGGGGGGGGAGTAGATGAACTCTTCATACGACTGCTTCCACTTGACCTTTTGGCAACGATTCAATAAGATTTGGCACAAAGCCATATTTGGCCCTGCTATCCCATACCAAAGAATGAAGCATCTAGAATAGCTTATGCAACACAGTGAAAATCAGAAAAAGAGCATACGAGAAAAATGACATTTTAATCGAAAGGTCCGGTCTTCCCTACCCCAACCCCCAATTTAAACGTGAAGTCCATCTGACATAAATCTCATAGTAGGAAATTTT